TATAAAAGTTCTTAACGACAGAATAAACGTATTGCTGTTTTATATTAACTGTGTCATTTCGGAATCCATTCTTTACATAGTTGTTCATTTACTTTAGGCAACACGCGGAAGATTATATTTTTTCCTTTTGTTTTTCTATCAAAATTTTTTCAAGTTGCAATCGCGCAAACTGGCATTTCGATAATAGTTTTAAATTCTTGTAAATTCACTGCAAAAACTGGGGATTACAGAAAATAACAAATGGCTTAGATTATCTCGCAAAAAGAAATACTCCAATATTAGTTAGAGCTAGTAAGGCCGAACGCTCCGTTCTTGAAGTAAAAGTGCGAGCTTTGCGCCAAAGTGACGTCATTTGAGAAAATCGTAGGATTGGCGCGGCGAGAGCTATTTCAAAGGAGTGAACCAGCCCTTCTATTCTCTTTAACCCTGGTGTGATATGCCATTTTGTTACTGTTAAGCCGTGTTGAGCATTTTAAAAACTTGGCCGATGATAAGCAGATTTAAGTTTGTATATTTCCACCATTTTTTAAACTATTTTGTCGAATCCGGAATAGTTAGCCTCTCTGGTAATGTGGTCAGCTTTTCACACAAGCTGCGTTTACTTTCTAGACAAATTGATATCCATGGCATGATAGAATGGCGGCTTGAAGCATTTTAAGCTTCAAGCCGCCATTGAGGATCGAACCCCAGTCCTGCACAAAGCCAGGTAAGTTTAGTTAACCACTGAGCCATCGGGGTGCATAGTTTTGTAACTAGTGAAATAAATTTTTCTAGTGTAGTAAAATATAACTAAGTAATTTGTTGTTTTCGGGATATAATATAATTTTATTAATTTATAACAATGTTAAACAACGTTAATTTATTGAGTACCTCAGAAATTTTATAATTCGTCAGTGTAGTGGAGACATTAATTAAAAATTATATAGTAACATTGCTTTTAAATGAAAACTTCCAAACTGTTATGAGGCACGTTTTTACTCTTTCGGTGTGTTGCACATACGATTTTTGTGGTATTTACAACGAAATTATGTCTTCACTATTAATAAAATATGTTTCAAAACTGTAAAATTATCACCAGTGTCTTTCAATTAACACGCATTTACATCAGAATCAGTGTAAAATAGAGAGATTTAAAAGGCCTCTACCCTCGCCGTCTTAAATTATAGGTTAAATTTTTAGTTTATGTTTTCTCGATTATTATTTTTTTATTTGTACTTGACAAACTTTTGTTGATATAATATTTAAACAGCACTTTATTAGATTAGAAGAAATAGCCCTTGATAATTTTTAGAACGTCTATAAATTTTTCCACAGAAATTTAAAAGTAATAAAATGATGCCATTTTGAGTAATTTATTTAAAACTGCACGTTTCTCAGTTTTTATATTTTTTAATATATAATCTTATTGCAGCTTAAGTTGATGAAAAGCGTTTTAGATGATGCTAAAAAATTTCTTTTAACGTTAATTGAATAAAAACAAAGATACTAAAAACAGGCAATTGTATACTATTCAACTACCTTTTAACACTGTTTCATTGCAGAATTGTGTTGGCATGATTTTGTGAGAAAAAATTAATAATCTAAAATTATTGCACGCTTTATAACTCAAATTCTGATTTGGTAACGGTCTTAAATATTACATGCATCGAAAGATAGTGCCAAATAGAGTATAAATCCATCATCAGTTTATTTGTGAAAATTAAATGAAAATGATTCTAAGCATATTCAGAATTTTCTCTCACCGACTCCCCCTCTTTGACAGTTGTGGCAACTACAGTACATTCTGTAAAGCAAACACTGCAATACATTATTAATTTTTTAAAAAAAGTACGCTGTAAAAACAGTGGTGTAATATATAACCAAATTTGGTATTTAACTCCAAAATTCGTGTGAATGAATACTTATTTTAATTTAATACTAACTCAAATGTTCTCACACATTTTAAAGGATGTAGTTAGATTTAAACGCCAATTTTTGAGAAAGCTTGCACCAAGATCAGATGCATTTACTCCATTCAAGAATTATTTTTGTCAACTTTGACGTACGCTTTGAAACCGATATTTACAATCGAGCAGAGACGGAGAAAGGTTGATTTCGTCTCGAAAAAGAAGTAAAGATAAAGCAGTAAACTGTGATCAGAAAAAGGAGTAAAATGTTTTTAGCGAATTGAAACATACTAGAATTATGTATGGTGTTTCATATCACTTTGGTGTAAAGTTGACGTCACCATTTTCGGCGTTTTTACAGTGTATATACTATCTGCAAGACTAATGCTTTTCAATTTGACTTTTTTAAATGGTAGCAAAAAGGAAACGATCCTAACTATCTTTATTATAAACTTGAAATTTTTTTTAGGTGTACACTGAAAAACGTTAAGTTAATTTAAGATAGTTTGGGTCATTTCCTTTCAGCTAAATGTGAATCAATACGAAAATAAATAAAATTGAAGGGTTTGAAACAGTATAACGATGATCAATATTTTTTTGAAAGGGGACATAATTACTTTAAACTTTTCCATTATATTATTTTGAGTTAGGTTCTTAATAAGTTTCTGGAAATAACAGAGCAATATACAGGAGCAGCTTATCGCTTTGCAAAAAGAGTGAAATTTTTCCATCAGAAAAAAAAAAAAAATACTTGTCTACTATCAATCAGATGGCAATTTTTAAAATTAATGATTTTCTTTCGCAAATATATAAAATTCATTTTTTTGCAACATACTGGTATTTAATTTATATTTCTTTCAAATATGCATAATTAAAGAGCGTTAAAAATATAAAAAATGATCAATAAAAAATATTTACAATCTAAAGATAAAGAACCTTAAATATACTTGCAAAATATATCTTTTTTTTTTTATGGAAATATAGAAAACTAACAATTTTCACTAAGATAATTTTGGTCAACGATAGTGATAAAAAAATAATGAATAAAAATCGTTAGCTGTTAATCCAAACATAGTAAATAAATGGGGGGGGGGGAAGTGATCAATCTTCGCGAATCGATATCAAAAAGTGATTGCTCAAATGCACGATACGTTATTAATGTTTTATGCATCAAGATTTTTTTTTTAAAATATGTTTATTCTTAGAAAAATTTGCTGAAAAAAGATCGAATTAGTACGTGGACTTTCGATGGAATGCACTCAAATGGCGGGTATTTTCTTTCTTCTTTTATACTAAGTCTGTAACATAGTAGTTGTCATTTTTGGCGAATGGGATTTTATATTTTGGCTTTTATGCAACGTTCACCCAATTCTGACCATTAATCCAGACCTCTATAACCCAACCCCGTAAAATTATTATTTTGTTCTTAATTGTATAGATGCTGAGTTAGAAAATAACAAACAAAGGCATAAAAATACACATATTTTTATTAAAAATATATGCATAAAAGGGGCCATATTAAATAGATGCAGCCCAATCATATAATATATATATTTATAAAATGTAAAACTTTGTACAAAATACTATTTACAGAAAGACGAGTTTTTTTTATATATATGTACAAGGTATAAGATAATAGTCCATTTGCCTAGTGTAAAGCAATATGTATTATTGAATTTATGTACACAAATACAATAAGCAATTCTTCTACCAGTGTTGTAGAATCAGCTGTATAGGACGAAGATTTGATGTCAAAAGCTGCATATAGTTCTGTAAATGACTCATATAAGCTGTCATTTAAAAATCTGCAAAGAAAAAAAAATAAAGATTAAAAACAAATTCAACAAATCAAGTCTTAAATAAGTTTAATAAAATATTTACACAGTCTTAACTTTGCAACAAGATAAAAATTTTCGCAGGTCTAGTACGATAATGCTTTTTGGATCAATAAAACAACGCGATTTTTCAACAATAATTTCTTTTTGGAGTAGGCACTTTCTGTCAATACTTCATATATAAATGGCATGTAAATTTTCAGTAAAATGATTGAATTGGTCTAAATTCAGGTTGTAATTCGAAAACCTTATTTTGATCAAGGAGTAACACTTTCATTTAAAATGGGAACTACTATTTCCCACTTAGTCGTTTAACAATATTGGCATAATTTATGTCAATTGGTCTAAATTTCTACCTTTTTGGTCCAGTACGGCACACTTAATTTACTATAAATTTCGATTAAATGCTTAACACCATTGGTGAAATTTATGTTAATGATTATGTTCCTCTAAATTTTAACCTATCATATGGCCAAAAGAAGAAAAAAAATCCTCATTTAGTCTATGAGAAACACTTTATTTTAAATGAACATAAATCTTGATTAATCCTATAACACCATAAAACTCTTCAAGGGGCACGGAATACATTTTTTCTTTCACTCGAATGTATAAAATCACTCTTCCACGCTTTTTTTCTCTTCAGAATACAAAGCTAGATATATTGACAGAAAACGTTCGAAAGCGTTTTTTCAGACCTGTTGACATATCTAGCAATATATCTATTTAAAGGGTGGTGGTTACCTGTTGCCTTATCACATACAATTTATCTGCAGCATTTTGACGAATTTCAGGGAGTAAAACAAAACGAATATGGTACACGACAGGGCGGAGTCACAAGGTGGATATAATTTACGGTCTTACAACTGTATTTAACTTTTAATAGTTGTTAAATATCTGGGATAATTGCCCGGTAGTCGGTCACGCCCCAGAACTTCAATCTAAAGATGGAAACATAAGAGATTTTTTTCCCCCTCTCCCTGAAGATTTAGCCATATCGTAAACATATTGGAAATGGGCTTGATGACTAATTGCAAGATTTTTTTTGGGCATGAATGCTCTATTAAATGGCAGCATTGAAAGAGAGATAACTTTGCTATGAAACGAAGATTAACTTTTTTTCTAGAATGTTGAGTGGGAGTAAGACAAATACATAGTTCGGAATTTCTCTTTTTAGGGTGGAGATTTGGAACTAATTGAGGTGTTTTGATAGTTATTCTACTCGCAGGTGAGAAACAAATTGCCTTTTAATTTGTCAGGTGGGGTGAAAGATAAATGCTTCAGATTTTTACAGTTTTTTCCATCCTCATAAATAGGAGCTTTATAATAAAAGAAAATTTCTTGACGAATTTCAATATATATGTATATATTTCCTTGATTGATTTTGGTGTAGGGTCCAATCGTTTAAAGATATTATTTAAAAATTAGAATTTAGCCTACGATGCTTCTTAATCATTATTTTAAAGGTTGATTACAAAATATTTAATGTTAAAAATAATTAATATTAAAAAGCACTCATTAAATCAAATTGCTAACAATAGTTCTACAACTGTTGCTATTTTATAAATAAACTAATTTTACATTTTAGGAGACTATTTCAAATAATTTCATTAGTGAAATTAATTTTTAATAGTGATTTTTTATTTTTCTGCCCTGTGCATTCTTAACCTCAGTTTAAAGCAATATGAGCTTAAGGGATAGATATAAAATGCATAAGTGTAAACTAATTACATAGGCTATGTAAAATATATATGAATTGTACATGAATAAGTTATGTTTTCTTATAACAATACTACAACAAAAAAAGAGTTAGTAAAACTAGTAAAAGAACTAGTAAACTAGTAGTAAGAACTAGTAAAATTATTTATATGATTTAACAAGAATCGTATTTATTTTAAACGATGATAAATTCCTTACTGTTTTTTACAGCTAGCTGACATTAGGAAAGAGAATATCCCGTTCTACTGCTTAATGGTTCAATAAAAATCACATCAACCCATTCCAGCTCAGTGTTTCCAGTCTATCAACCCTTATTCTAACAATATTACACACCACTATGTAAAACTATTTGCTTCTAAACGTTCACAGCCATTCAGCAACCACTACTTTTTTAATATAGAACACAATTATAATTTACGATCTAATATTGAAGTTGCCAACGTACTACATTGTCTAAATATTTTCAGTCAAAATTAACTGCCCTGGAAAGGGTTAAGTAGTTTACCCTGTCCGGTACAGCAAATTTCGATTGAAAATTCTAGTCAGGGAGAACATTAACAAGTGAGACATTAGACAGTACATCGTAAATCAGACGATATATTTAAGCTCTTTGTTGTTTAAAGAATAGTGGTTGCTAAACGTATAAAAGCAATTAGTTTTACGTTTCTAGTGGTTTGTATCATATATTGAATTCGTGGAACCAGACAGGCTACACTGCACCGAAAAAGAGGTAAAGTGTTTGGAAATGACTTTTAAGCAAAATCAAATAACAATAATTAAATGACTAAATTAATAAATGTGTATGAATTTCAAGTTCAATTAAAATTTGTAATGAAAATTAATAATTTGAAATTTATATCAAACACTGATGTTTGATGCAAAACAAACAACGTAGACCATTTTTGATTAAATTAGACTTGCTAATTTCTCAAGTGCATAAGTGGCAGATGAATCATTAAACAGCATAAGTTGAACTCTTGACTCTTTTAGATAGCAGCCTGTCAGTAGCCACTAATTCATTCTCAAAATCTAATAATCATTTTCACCACCTCCGCAAACGCAGAACAACAGCCTGTCAAGAACCTTCATCATCGAAATTCGATCGGCCCCAGCCTAATATTAAAAATGGTAACGTAGTAAGGCCTTAACAATTTCTCAACGTCAAGAGGTCCCAACAATCTCACACCCAAAGCTTCTACGAGGCGAACCGATTGATTAGCAATTGCCACGAAGAAAACAATAGAAATTGGAGGGTCGCTAAATGCAGGGAAATAAAAAAAGCATTCCAAAATGGGAGTGGTACACTCAATCTTTGAAAAATTAACGGATACAAAGCCGATTGTGGGAGGGAGGGGAACCTTATAGGTTCCTGTAAGATTGGCAGCTTTCGAGTGGGTTGCCCTTATTGCATTTTGCTCGGACCGATGAATGTTCGGCAAGATCTTATTGTCAAAAGGGACGATGCGTGGCAACTCCACCCTCTATTTCTGTGAAATTTCTTTATTCTTTTAATGTATTGGTATTGTTCCCTGCCCATCCTCAAGGCAACGATGCAGTCCAAAGCGCGAACCACACCTGCATTGCTCGCTGATTTTGAGTTATTCCCACAATAGAATGGCGTGATGATTTGGAAATTTATAAAATTAGATGGGTCTCTCAATTCTTGCAGAATACCTACTCTTCGATATTCGAATAACAAACGCATCATGGGAGGGGAAAAAATGCTACATGATCCGAATTTTGGAATCCAAAAAGTCCTTAGTACATTCTCAGAATTATAATACGGTGTAAATTTTCTGAAACCTCATTAAGGTGTTAAATAGAACCATATTTCCGTTCAAGTTTTACCATAGTATCTTGTAATCAGGTTTAATATGTTCGATAATTTGCCTCATAATATCCCCATATTAAGATTACATTAAATTTGAACGAGATTACGGTTAAACATGCTGTATGTTTTTCATATGTGCAATATATAGAATTCGACTAACGCATCAGTGTAATTCATGAGCCTATAATTAAAATGCTACATGATCTAAATTTTAGAGTGCAAATTGGTCTTGTTCGAAATTTAAAGCATATAAAGTACTACCGTAAAGACAGAATTTAGGTATAAATTATTTTGAAGTGCAATAAGGTTTCATAGTTCACTCTCAAAAAAATTAGTTTAACTCTTATACATAATTTACGTGGCGTGAACCATACGATTTAAATTTGCTGCACCCTTAATAAGGTGTTAAATTAAAGCATCTTTTTTTCAAGTCTAATCATAATATCAGGCTTAAGACGTGTGATAATACTGCTCACCTTAGTACTGCCGTGCAAATGAAAAAACAACGTAAGTGTTTCACGATAAATTTCGAGAAAATGGACTTGATAATTTATTTTATATTGCTAAATGCTACGAGCACTAAAATAGAATTTTAAGAACTAATAAAACTTATTTTTGAAATTTCTTTTGCAATAGTATGGTTTATCATACAGAAAGACCAAATATATAAAACACTTAATTTTTAATTTTTGTCACGTTGGTTTTTTTACTTCACGGCAGAATACCACGTTATGGTTGCATCAAATTTGAACGTTAACAACTTTTAATTATTTTAAACAAAGCAGTGCCAACAAAAAAGAACATCATACCAAAGAATAAAACAGAAAAGAAAAGAAAAATTCAGTGGCGTAACTAGATCAATGGTTATCGCTTTTTAATTTACTGTCGTTTACAAATAAATGATCTAGCTCATCGTTTTAAACATATTATCGTTTTCAAATAAATGATCTAATTCATCACTTTTAACATAACTCACCATTAATACTAGAGAAGACTTCACGTCCTTTTTGGCATCGGTCTTTTTGCGGTCAAGTAGGATGGAATAAGCCGGGATCTTTCAAAGATGGAGACGGGTGAGCTACAGTCGATTTCTCGTTGACTTGTCGGCCTGTTGCTGTCGTTGCTTTTACCCTGTTTTTTCAGTTGGTTGTTTTTTTCGACTAACTGGCAAACCAGATCTTTGATATCATCTAAATTTAGCTGATTGACATCGACATCAATGCCTGAAAAAAGATAAACAATAATTAAAATAGGCATTGCGTGCTAGCAACATAAATAAAGCATATAAGTTTTAAAAACAACATCCGTAATTAACTCTTGAAGTTATTTTGTTTCAAAATGTATCAGTATTTATATGTATTAATCTATCATACGACGAATTCCTATCATTTCGTTTTGTTTTTTTAGATTTTTGTTTGATAATTTGCTTAATTTAAAAAATAAGGCTGGAAGCCATGTGGCTCTTAGTTCTCTAGCTTATTTACTTAAGGCTGTTTTTTGAAGGCTCCGTCGTAACTTGAAATGCTTTTTTGGGAATAATATGCTATTTTTATAATTGCTGTAAGTTTGCAACTGTTACTTATGACTATTAGGTCAAGTTTAGCCTATCTAAAGCAAGCGTTGTCTAATTTTTTAATATTTAAAAGCTTACTCCAATGCTGCATTACCTGGGCTCATAAGAATGTGCAAAATCTGAGAATAAGGCAATTATTTTGATAATTTTTTATCTAGGTGGAAAAAAGTCGCCAAATTGATGATTTTTAAAAAAAGCTTAATAAATTTTAAAACATTTAAGTTGTTTGTCGGTTCTACTGACCAGATAATTTTTCAAACCAAGATTATGTACATAGTTTGAAATAATCGCTTTGTTTCAAATGTTGTAAGGCACTTAACTGTGGCTTTTTTATTTTCCATGGCGACAGTGCTTCCAAAAACAGCGTTAAAGGACAAGTTCAAGTAAAACAAAATTTAATATTCGTTGCTGCACAATGTTCTAGGGGTTAAGACTTAATACCCATACATGAGTACAATTAAACAAAAATTAAGTTCTAATGACATAGAGTTAATGCTCTTTTTTATGCATTAAACGATAATTCACAATTTAACAACAAATAAGAAAAAAAGTAAATTATACTGCTTTTCTACCTTTGGCATCTTACAAAAACAAACACATTTTTTAAAGTAAAAATAAATAGAAGTAACAACTTTTTAATTTGAAATATTTCAATAAAGATTTCTCCGAAAAGATTAATTCTAGCAATTACATTTATAATGCATTTCATGATGCATTATACAATAGGCGATTTAATAACCTAGTAGTGATTTTTATCACGTAAATTAAAATAAAGACTGCTTATAGAAGATAATAATTTAAATGCAAAAAATGAAAGGAAAAAAAATAAGGAAAAATATTAATAGCGCACTAAATCTTACTAACCAACCCAGACAACACGCCTTGTACTAATTCATTGGCTTGTAATGCAAGTTCGTGAGCCAATCAAACAGCAGCATTTTAGAAAAAAATGCGGCCGCGCATGTCACGCATAAGGTTCCGTCTTTAAAAAAAAATAACCTTTTAAATAGCGAAACTTACCTGTTAAAGGATATGGATTAAAAAATAAATAAAGGACATGAAAATTATAGAGGTCAGTTTTACGAAATAGAAAAACTAGACCAACCACCCAGGTAGAGATGTCCAGATGTCACGGATTTTTAATTGTCATTTCTAAGGTATTTACTTTTCTTACGCCTGCCAGCTGTTAAGAAAGCATGATGTCAGGGTTAGGAATTTTGCTCCCTGTATAGACCACCGCCCCTTTTGAACGCTTTGGGGATAATTGCTATGCCAACAGATTTTGACGCTTGCCATTTTCCTATTACACCCACTGATGACGTAATGCTAATGCTATTATGTAAGTTATGCAGAAAGAATCGTCTGCAAGTTCCAAGTAATTTAATTTTATATGGAATTTTTTTTTAGAACTTTGAAATTAAAACAATGAATTATTTAAAAAAAATGTCTCCATGCTCGAACAGTTATTAAAAATTATTTGCTGATAAACAATTTCGCAAAATTATATATGAATTTCAACATTTCTAAACATTATAATTAAAAAAGCAGATCTGAAAGTTAAGCTTAAAGGTAGGTTACAAGTTGAAGATAAGTTGGGGATTAGGTAAGTTAATAATTGCAGATTACTCTTAGATAAGTTTTAAAAAATGAAGAGTTGATTTATGTAAGTTAAAGATTACATTTTGATAATTTAAAAGTTGAAGGATAGACTCAAGACAAGAAAAGTTGAAAAGACTTAGAAATGTTAAAAGTTTGAAGATTTAACTTTGATAAGGTTTGTTGATGTTTTAATTTACTTCGTGGATGGAATACCTAAAAAGAAGAAAAATCGAAACATTTTTCTAAAACTGAATTTTAAATCGAAGCGGGAAGGGAAAAAAAATGGAATGCGCTAAAAAAGAACATGTTTATGTCGCAAAATCGAAATCACCCACGAACAACTGTGGAATTTCAAGGTTTTTCAAAAAAATTTATAGCCGTTGAAACTAGCACCTGATTCACAATGCAACGTGTTTAGAAAGAGTTATAGAGCGTAATCAGAAGCAATGCAGTAGAATCAAATTAGAAACCCAAGATGCGAGTAGTTCCAAAATGGAACATTACTTTGCAAATCACGTTTGCTTTCTGAGATGAGGTAGCAGAAGGTGTGCCATCGAATTTACCCCAACTGCTTTTATTAACCCACCCTTTTCAAGTACTTATGAGAAAGAAATTACTTCAAATACTTTGCTTTCTGAAACAAAAAAACTAATAGTGAAACAGTTATCGCTTTTATTCTCTGGAAATTGCAATATGTCGTTTTTTAAAAAACGAATACGACATAATGGGATAGAAAACACTTTCTATGAACAAAACAATCGTCTTAAAAGAAATAGTTTTCAAATAAAGAATTCGTTTTAATATCAAATTTTATGAATGAAACCAAATAATGCAAACCTGCGATTCGTTAAATTTCTGATTGAAAGAAATTAGGAAATTAATTCAAATAATTTTAAACAACCTATAATATTTATGAAGGAATAATTATTGACTAAAAAGAAAAAAGTCTAAAAAAATATACATTATTACATAATAGTTCAATTTGTTAGATATTTACTTTTAATGAAAAAAAAAATATTTAAAAAGGAACTAAGAGAGAACAATTTAGCATACTTCATAATATAATTAATATTTAAAATACTAATTAATTTTTCATAAATAAATAAGTCCTAATTTATTTATGAAAAATTCAAACAAATACGTTTTATAAGGTCGGGAGATGAATTAAAGAAAAGAAAATGCTTACTTAAACTGATTCGAAATTCGTTATTTAAAAAGCAAACGATTTATAGCTTTAAAAAAAAGCGGCAAGTTAATTTTAACGAAATAAGACTTAATTTTTATAAATCGTCTGAAATAATATCTTTTAACATTTTGCTTTTAATAAACCCAAACGATGAAATAGTATTTTAAATTCATTATTTCGATTTCGTGAGGTGGCAAATTTAAAGTTTTGAAAAATTAAACCGATTCTGAATGTTTATACATCTTTATGGAATGTTCCGATACATATGTGTGTTGGGCGAATAATTTTGTATTAATACCATATCTCTTTGAAAACCCATAGCATCAAATTCAGCTGTATTGATCCAATATCGTTCCCAGTAAGATACTTCTCATTAATGCAGAACATTATAATCCATTTCTAGTAAGTAAATGAAAGTTGCATTATATACTTTAACTTATGTTCACTGGGAAATACGAGTAAAAGAGTTTCGCACGCTGCAAGGGGGGAATAAAGACTGTCAAAGCAATATTGTTCGACTCTCGGCGTGTGTCAGCAGTCGTTGCTTCTTTGTTCAAGTTTTATGCCAGCAAGGGGTGGTCACGAAATCGAATGACATGACACGTGCGCTAAGCGTGCATCAGAGAGAATTGTCGGATGTTGAATCATAAGGCTTCGGGCATGGGCATGTGCTATGACGACACCAGAGCAATATTGCCCGATCCCTTGAATACAAATTAAAACTCTTTTAATTTCTGTGAAATATTGAATACTGTTGTTACTACTGAATACTACATACTGTTTGAAAATTTATGTTAAATTGTTTACTTTCATTTACTTATTTTCTTCAAAACACTTTTTTTTTAATTTACTGAATATGCAAATCACGTGAAATACCTTCTGTAATATATTAAATTTAATGAATGAATTTAAAAAAAAGTATTTGTGATAACAATTTTTTTTAGATATGAAAACAAGATTTATTTTGCCAAGTCTTTATCTGAAGTATTTTTTAGTCTTATTTGAATCTACAATACTAATTTATTTTGGCAAGTCTATTAATGCTAGAGATTTATTTTGGCACATTTTAGTGGATAAAATGACTATGGGGTGATATTTTTGTAGTTTTGAAGTTGAAGAACTAATTAAGTGCATTTGGCAAACTACAGACAGTCTCTCTTTTTTTGTTTTGTTTTTTAAAATGTTCAAAGTAAGACCCGCTATGACACGGACAATTTGAACGAGTTGATTTTGACAATTTCTATTTTGTGGATAAGAAATAAAGATGAGGCAAAATTACCTACTATTGTCAGTGTACTTAAATCTAGATTACTAAAATGTCACTTAGAATTTTTCTTCATTTAAATCTTTAATTCCAATTCAGTTTTGATAGTTGATTTAATATAAGTTGATAGTTGATTTAAAGATATTTTATCATTATAAAATATAGCGTAGTTAGTGCGAAAATTATCACTAAATATACATCCCCTTAAGTATTTTCATAAGTCCGGATATAATCGAACACGTTCCATAAGTCCCCACAACATTGAGAGGGGGGATGGTACCGTTGATTTGAAGCGTATTTCCCAGATTTACAACACAATAGGGTGATGGGGAGGATAAAATTTTCTCAAAATAATAAATATTCGCTCCAGAGAACGATCTCAATAATCACTGGAGTTACAGTACTTTTTGACTTTAATCATCAATCCCTCCCACTGATATTCGAATCGAAAAAAAAAAAAAATTGATGGGGAGCATAACTCGTGCCAGCTTCAAAGGTATTATTATTGTGGAGCATTATATATTATTTGATTGATCTCTGTGGATAATCCAAAAAGCTGCTGTTTTTGTAATCCGATCAAATTTTTTTTATATATTTTCTG